CACATATATATGTATAATATATATATATCACATTTTATAGATATCAATTTTGCTTCTGCTTTGTTACAATATGCAAAAGAAAATGTATCCAAATCTGGTATGTATGATTCTTGATGTCTATATCATATAACATAATTTTTACATTATAATATACTATATGAGAAATAATCTTTATATTATATCTGTCAAACATATAACTAAACAGATATACCAACTACAAGTACAGGAAAAATAACAAAAAGTTCGTCAAATATATTAAATAATAATGGAGATTCAATATCTGATATTGAAAATACACCATGTACAAGTACTGAAATAAAAAGTTCATTGGATGTAGAGAATAATAAAGATTCAAAATCTAATAATGAAGGTATTTATTAATAATGATAAAATGGTTATAAAAGTTTTAATCATGATATCAATTTGACATATTTTCAAAATAATATTTAGTGCATAAAAATTATATACTTACACAAGTAAATACTTTATTGTCCTCATTTTGCTATTTTGTTGTAAAAAAATTTTGTTACAATTATCATAGTTCTTAATTTAACTCAGGATTGACATAATCTTTTATATTATAACTTATATATTTGTATGTATTTGTACATCTTGCTATAATTACTTAGCTTACATAAAAAAAATTATTTTTAAGTACAATTTAATGTTATACTAAATTAATAAATTGTTTAAATTTATTTACAGATAAAAAACATTCTGTTACATTACAGCATTCATTATTGGAATATAAGAAACTTCGTGCAGAGAAAAAAGATGCACAACATGAAGAAAGAATTAATTTATTAACGGATATTAAAAATATGATACAAGAAACGTTACAAAAAGAATAACGTTAAATTGAATCGCTCAAATAAGACTAAAGATGAAAATTAGAGTTCCTATATGCTATTTTTAAGATTTATAATTCTCAATGTTGTACGCAAATGTCATGTTCAACTCTTTACAAATTTTTATTATCTTTTATGTTAATATTGTTGATATTTATATTGCACATAATGCTTAAAATCCGTATCTATCAATTCTACAGACCGATTCAACTGCCAACTGTAATTGCCAATCCATATAGTGAACTCATTGTGATTGATTCATTATGGGTTGGCAGAGTTGGCAATTAGAGTGGTCTGTAGAGTCTGATACTGGCTTAAGGGGATGCTGGAGTGACCAAATTATCACATTACAGTCATATAAAAATGTTCAAATTGACTAAACGAAATAAAAAATCCTTTTATAGGATTAAAGTAGACGCAAAATTAGGCGGTGGTGCAGTGGACCTTGTACTAAAATCGAAAAAAAGTTAAAATATTTTGTAATATTCTTCCGATTTTAGTATAAAATCCACTGCACCATCTCCTAATTTTGCGTTTACTTTAATCCTGTAAAAGAATTTTTTATTCCAGTCAATTCGAAGATTTTTATACGACTGTAATGTGATAATTTGGTCACTCTAGCATCCCCTTAAAGGATAAAAATAAGGAAGTTTGATGTGTGCATATACTGGCTGTTTCTTTTCTTACATTTTATGTGCAATTTTACGTTAAAACGTTACATATACATATATAATAATTAGCATACGTGGCATATTATTTTGCTATTTTGTGATTTTGTATTATTGTTAATACTTAAAATGTATATTATATAATACTTTAGAGGCTTCACGGATATTCATTTTAAAAACGCCAGAGACTTTTTTTATGTACTGGCATATACAAATAAAAAACTTACATTGAAGCATTTGTTGTTGAAATATAAAAAACTTCATGCAGAAAAAGAAATGCATAATATAAAGAAAAAATTGATTTATTTTAGGTTATCGTCGTGTCATGATTAATTGCTAATGCCAACGTTTCATAAATCTTGCAGTTTACTTCATCAAGACGAGGAGCGCACTGATATGAGTTATTTTTTGGAGAAGTTTCTTTATGTAAACACTGTTGAGAAGAAGAGGGGAAATTTCTCTCTCCCTCTCAACAGCATTTATTATATAAAAGGAATTTTCCAGAGGAACAGCTCAGTATCAGTGCACTTCTCGTCCTGATAAAGTGAATGCTAAGATTTATGAAACATTGGCATTAGCAATTAATCATGATACAATGATAACTGGCAAATCCTCTGGCATATATACATTATGTACATTTTAAATATTAATTACATTAAGTACAAACTATATTAAGTACGAACTACATTAAGTATTATCTGCATTAATCAGTATTAACTACATTAAGTATTAACCCTCCTTGGTCCAATGGGACATTTGAAGATCCCAGCAAATTTTCAATTTTGAATTATTGTTTCAAATTTTAACACATAAAAAATGTTTAGGATCATATATTTAAAAACGTATTCTTGAATGTTGAAACAGTGCACTCTTTGAAAAATACAATCAGACAACAGTGATCCTACTGGACTAGGAAAGCAGTGACAAGAATGTTGGACCAAGGATCGTTGAAAGTGAACAAAAAGCATTTTTTTACTTTGATTTATAATCTTTCATTCAACATGTATGTTAGTGCATTTCTTTTTTGAATGCCTTCTTCTTTATCTTGAGCATTAATTTCATCAACACCATGTTGAATCGTAGCAATATTATCTATTTCGGCAATTATGATATCATCTATGAAATCTTCATGTAAAATACAAATGTTATGCAGCACACAACAAACAATAATGTATTGGGGTATGAGATCCGTCCGTTTCATATACAATTTATCTAAAAGACTTCGAAAACGTCCTTTCAAAAAACCGATGGCTCTTTCAATCATTACACGGGCCGAACATAGACTTTGATTAAAATTTATTTGTGCTTCTGACAAATGGCCATTGTTCTTATAAGGCACCATCACATGTTTTTGCAAAGCATAGGCAGCATCACCAATTAGATGACTATTATGTGGAAAATAATTTTCTGTGCACATAGATTGGATGCCACTTAGTCGGAATACACGCATATCATGCACAGATCCTGGTTGTCCTGCATAGCAGTGTATGAACTTTAAGGTGGAATCACATATAACCTACAACAAATGTTAAAACATTTATCAATCTAATAAACATTTTACCATAGTTATTACGTTATATTAATTACAATAAATATTTCACTTACTTGTAACTGTATTGAATAATAACCTTTTCGATTGACATAACTTTCTGCATGTTTCTTTGGTTTATGTATATGTATGTGGGTACCGTCTACAGCACCAAGTACTTTTGGAAACTTATATTTGTATTGTATATCTATCCATGTATATTCTGCTTCCTCTGCATCAGGCCATTTAATAAATTTATGTGCTAAAGAATAAATTGCTGAGCAGACTTTTCTATTAGCACGCCAAGCAGTTGCTCGTCCAATATTGAATCGGTCACAAACTGATCTATTAATTAAACGGAGAATATATATATGTATAATAAACTTAGTATTAATATATATTTAATATAATTTTTTAATTTATGTACAATTACCGATATGAGTCAGGTGTTGCCATAGTCCATAGTGCTACTAGTAATTGTACGTCTGGAGGAATTGGACACCGTCCATATCCATTACCTTGCTTTTCTAAGCTGGGTTTTATTAAATTTAATAAATATGTAAACACTACACGCGATAGCCTGTAATTGAAGAAATTCACTAATTTTAAAAGATAACTAATTACATTTGTTATATTCAAAATAGTAGTAAGATTGTTTCCATATTTTGCATAATAAAAACAATCGTGAACTAATAAATATCGACTTTCGAAGCATTATACATAAAATTCTCTATACAGTATTATTATTATATATTATTAATATTACCGAAAATGACTCTTAAATTCTATATCCGAATATTCATTGACTGTTTCCATATAATTTTTAACACGAGGTCGAACTTGAATTGGCAATCTCATAATTAGTTCATCTTCGGAAGAACTATCAGTGCTACTTTCGTTCAAAATTTCTAATGCTATTAAGCATATTGATAATTTAGTGCGTTTATCCATGGCTACATCCGAACCGCTCCGCTCGAGTGGTCTCATGAGACTTCTTCTTCTTCTTCGTTTATTGGCCAGGCAGTCCACCGGACCGAAACTAGGCCATTGAGGTCCGCGAAATATGAATCAAATGTAAAATGAATGTAATGCACCGGCCACCTCAAACCGGGCGAGTATAACAAAAGATGAGGTAATCGAAAAATGAGTCGCCCCCCCAAACACTGGACACCTGCGGCTACGCCGTTTCCACGACGCACGGCCGCGCGCCAAGACGGATGAAAGGACTATCGATAATGAATACAAAGCTCAGTCGAAGCCGGCAACGCTTTTCAAAAATATAATTGAGGTGATGCAACACTCGAAACGAAAGGGAACACGTCCGACCCGCTCGAGTGATCACACGAGACTTTCGGTCTCATGAGACTACTGTCAGTGCACTGCAATGCTGTTCCGAAATACAATGTTACAGTAGTGCTGGCAGTACCACAGTAATTTTGGAA